TTTCCACTCTGCTGAAAAAAAAGAAAATAATTTTTTTTTTAGAAAGTACCTTTAAATGCAAAATTTAAGCGAAAACAAATAACATGAGGCAGATGAATCGGAGGAGGAAGAGAGATGAGAAGAAGAACAAACAACTAACATTAATTTTAAACATAAATTTAATAGTAAAATTAAATGTATTATTGATAAGAAATGGTCAAGAGGTATACACAGCAAATTGTTAACAAAACTTTGAAAAATTGTTTAAAAAAACTAAAAAACTATGAAAAACAAAAACGAAAAAAAAAACTAAAGAAATACGAATTGAATTAATTTGTAAGCGAAAAAGCCACAAAAAATATGGAGAAAAAAAACATAAATAAACTAACAAAATATACTTAAACAAAAAATAAAAAAAAAAAATAATTAAAAAACTGCAATTATACGATTTACAAAACCTAAAGCAAAATTGTAAAAAACCCAACACTAAATGTTTTTTTTTTTTTTTCTTAATTTAAGTTTTGAAATGGCTTTGGCATGGCAAGAGCATTCAATAGTCGAGTTGTTTGCTCAGCACACAATGCACACTCTATAAATCCACCCCCGACCCCCATTCCCCACCCTTCAACCACACTTCAACAAAATTAAATTAAACACAATTTAAAAGAAAGAATACAAAACAAAAAATATAATAATAACGAAAAAAAACACTCAAATACACTCTCTCAAATAATTTGTGGCACCCAGAAAAATGAAGAAGACAACACAAAGCAAAATAAAATAAAATAAAATAAAATAAAGTAATGCAAAACAAAAGAAAAACGTAAATTTGTTCGTTTGAGCTGTTTGAGAATTTTCTAAAAATGCAAATTGGCAAATTCACAGAAAAAAATATAATTAAAAAAAAAAAAATTAAAAAAAAACAGGCAAAAAGCCAAAACCAAAAACCTAGAAAAAAATACAAAAATACAAAAAACAACAACAACAAAACTTAGCAAATAGTAAAAACTTTTAAAGGAACGAGAAAAAACAACAAGAAGACGAAGAGCAAAGCAAACACGATAGAAAACAGAACTAAAAACAAACGAAAATGATAAGATAAAAAACAAAAACAACAACTACTTATTTATAACAACAAATTAATGGAAAAATGAATGGAAACAAAAAACAAAACAAATGACATAAAAGACGAAACCAAAAAAAAAAAAAAAAAAAAAAAACAAATTCAAATAGAAATTCTTTTCAAATATCAATAAAGCAAGAATATTAAAAAAAAAAAGAAAAAAAAACAAAAAGAAACCAAAAATGACTTTTTTATTAATTATAATTACTAATTATTAAATACTATAAATGAAAAGCAGGGTTGGATTAACCCTCAACGGGGCCTTAGGTAAACAAACTTAAATAGTAAAGCCTATGATAAGTTGAAGTGTTCTAGATGAGAATGCACGACTACAAAATACCCTGCAGTCTGGAGCTCTTGTCACTCACTCATACTCACACATACACACACACATATATATATACCATTCCCTATGCAGCATCAGATTGATCTACAGTTTCTCAGTCTCTGATGATGTGGCGCTCGATAAATTCCACACGGTATGATTCCATTAGGGGGGCATCTAGACCCAAATAAATACCAGATAAAATTCTGCAACTGATTTCTGATAAAGTTTTTAATCGATAAGAATAAAACAGAATTGGGCCAGCGCAAAAAGTTCTAGTCTTTTTGCCTTTATGCACTGTCGGATCAACTCATTGCCACGCCTCCCTCTACCTGTTACATATATTTTTACAGAGCTATCATGCTCCAATTTTCCATTTTGATTAGACTCAGAGTATACAAAACAACAAACACCCACAGTAGAAATTTTGTGTAATATCACTAACCATAGAACTCATAGGCCGGACAAGTAGTGTAAAGTTTTATGCACACTTTTTCTATGTGTTCTATGGTTAGTGGTAATATTCAAGCTGTGCTTAAAATCAAAAATAAATCAGCGATGAGCCGATAACAATCGGATATATCGATATTTATCGATTCGATCGCGTGAGCTATCGAGAAAATATGTATACAATATTTGTAATATTAAGAGTAGAAATTGAAACTTGCAAATCTCTACCTATTGAATCTTACGGACGGAGAAACGGATGGACCGACAAACGGACAGTGGGACGTATTTAGCTGGATCAACTCAGATGATCCTCCTATACATGAATATATATACACATAGGAAAAATCTAATCGGATTTCCAAGAATTACTAAATAGCTAATATTACAAATTGGAATATTACAAATTAGAAATTTATTAAAAATCTTCGATTCGAGATGATTATATTGTATGTTATTTAATATTAAGGTCAAGGCTCTAGTGGCACTTCCTGAATCCTGGCACACACAGGGCCGGATCGAGCACATGAATGTCATCTGGCGAGGTGTAGTGAGTGCCCTTAAAATAGAGTCCAGTATCACAATCCTGAGAATTAAATATTATAAGAATTACATACAGATATTCTTGATTTTAATCAGAGGCTATGGGACCCTGCCCCAACACCTATGATATAGGTAGACAATCAAAAAAACCGTACAATTCAGAATTTGATGTCTCTAGTTCATGGCAGATCAAATTATACTCTTAATGATATATGTATCAGATTTATTATAAATTACAAATCTCCAGTCTTTGTAGTAAATAAGTTCACAGAAATCCCCAGGGGGATATTCATACATGGCTTAATCAGCTCAGCAGGTTAATCTTATATAGAATCTACATAATCTCTGAGATCATCATTATTCCCTTATCAATTACATTCCATCATACTTAATCAAAAATGCATTGGTATTTCAATTTGTTAATCACTTTATTAGAATTGAACTACAACAGATTTATAGGTCACAGGGGAGAAGAGAACTATTTGTAGAGCTAAGGTGGTCTAAAAGCTACTGCTAGATATTCATACTAAGTACATAAATAAGCATTGCTGCATAGCTCACTAGGCGTGAGAGATTTTCAATAACTAACTAGGTACTACAGAGAGAGAGAGAGATATATATATATAAAGAGAGCGAGATAGAGAGAGAAATAGAAGAGTGTAAGAGAACATGTGTCGAATGTGTGCGAATTGCGTGTGTGTGTGTGTGTGTGTGTGTGTGTGTGTGTGTGTCTTTGATGTGATGTTTTTCTTTTGGTATGTATGTATTTATACATATATGTATGTATGTTTATATAAATATAAATGTGCATTGGGATGCGTGCTCAAGACTCGGGAGGTAGTTGGATATTGTGGCGCATCGAGCACCTTTGGGGCCTTGGGGCTTTGTCTTTTATAAGCAGAAGAAACAGTTTTGTTTGTTTGTTGTGGTTGTTGTTGTTTTTTTTTTTTTTGGTTGTGTGCAGTCAAGAGCAGAATCTAATCAATTCGTGGTAAGCTCCTCGCTATCATCCTCCGGCTCGGCGCCGCGACCCTCGCGAATACGCTTCAATTTGCGCTTCAGCATCATAACGCCTGCAAAAAGCAATTTAGATAAGTTGAGATAGACTTTGTGATAAGTGGAGAGCGTACACTTGATGGCCTGATAGGTCTTGGCCGAGGCGGACTCAGTGGCTGGCAGAGGATTCGATGTGGCCTTCTCATGCGCCAGCTTCACCTCAAGATAGGCCCGCTGCAGCGTCTTGAAGTGGCGATACTCGCTGGTGTCCTTGATGAGGATGCATCTGCAAGGATTAGATGAGAGATGATATAATATATGATATGTAAGAGAAGAGAGTTTCGTTTGCTCACTTGGCCGCCGAGCCCTCGCCGGAGCAATCAGATGGCGCCGTATGATAGATCTGATGATAGAAATACTGCAGCACCGGCGAGTTCCAGATGGCCAGGCCATACCACACCCAGATGGCCACATTGAGCGGCAGCTTGAAGTTCTTGGCAAACAGCGTGGGTATGAAGTAGTTGAAGGGCAGCAGATTGATGTGCACATGCAGCCAGGCGGCAATCTTGAGGCCCATAAACACTTGATAGACCAAGCGGTTGCGATTCGAATTCTGCAAGGCCAACAATGAGAGGCATTCCGTTAGAATGCTGTACAGCCCCAGCGTGAGATTCAGGCCAACAAAATAGTTTTCGTATCTGCAAATTTGAAAATTGTTCGGAATTAGCTGTATGTCTAGATGGCCGGCTGCACATGCCTGTAGACATCGATGGCGACGAGGGCGAACAGATAGAGGCCCTTGGAGACGGTTTCCAGAAAGTCCGCCTCCTTGAAGTCCAGCATGGCTCCATGCAGGTAGAACGTTATTATGAATATTGAGTAGAACTGAAATTTCTCATATTGATGCGAGCGATAGAAGATGAGATTGTCGGAGCTATGGAAGAGCGAATAACGACCCTGGTTCTTCATCAGATGCGGCAGTATCATGAACTCGTTGTAAAAGTGCAGAAAGAGACAGCAAGCGCCATAGAATGCAATATTCCATATCAATCGAGCGAACTGTTTGCGCTTGAAGTACTTCACGTTTGACGATTTCAAAAAGAACTGCAAGGGACAGACAAGAAGAGAAGATGAGGATGATGAATAATAACAAAAAGAAGAAGAATAAACGACAGCCAATTAGTCGCCGAACATAGCATATACTTCCCGGTGCAATGCACACACGCACACACACACACACATCATGCTTATGTGACATATTTATGCAAATGCATATGTGTGTGTGTGTGTGTGTGAGCTAGGCTTGAGTGTGGCTTTTTGTTTTGCATGCTTTAAATGTTTTTAATCTTTATAGTTGTTGGTCGCGGCAGTCGGTCGCATGTCTTATCTTAACGTCGCCGTAGCCGTAGCCGTAGCCGCTGGCGCTGGCGCTGCCACAGCCGTCGACGTCGTCGTCGTCGTCGTCGTCGTCGCTTTACATCTGGCTGTCGACTATTTATAAACGCCAAAATAATTGGGCACCAACGGCAAACAGCAGCCGGACGCCGTGCTGTCGCTTACTGTTGCTGTCACCGCCGTCTGGCGTTGCTACTTCAAATTCGCTCACCTGGAAGACGCGCTGAAATCCATAGAAGCCGCAGGATAACGCTATAAATATCCAGAAGACCGCATTGATCAGGTAATGCAGGTCGATATTCTGTACCAGCGCATCGAAGCGATCGTTCGTAATTAGATATTTCAGTGGCAAAAAGAAGTTTCCGATTTCTGCCCAATAATCCGGCGGACCGGCTTTCATATCCAGTATAGACATCTTTGGATCGTTGCGGCAGCCGCTGCCACAATAGCAGCAGCTAGCAGAAGGTGGATCGACCACAAGTGAAATTCAGAATTTAAACGATTGCCATGCAGCAATTGGGCTGTCAACCTGAGATGGACAGTTGGGTGTATTTATAAACAGTAACAATTTTTTTTTTTTTTTTTTTTTTTGTATATTTATTTACGTGCCTGGTACATGGCAGTCGACAATCGATAAATGTTCTGACAAGTGCTATGACGATATATCGCCAGCTGAACTTTGCTTTCGATAGCTGGCTGTCAAACTGCCAACTTGTTTGCAGAGCGCTCTAATTTAAATTCAAATTTAAATTTTGTTTGTGAGTTTCGTAATATCCATTGCAGCTCTCATTCGCACACAAAATGGAGCAATCCTCAGTTGCTCACATTGTCGACTATCCAGATGAGCCTATCGACCTGCTCCGACAGCTACTGGATGCAGTCAAAAAACTTCACCCGAACTCGCAGCAATACATGAATTTGGCCACCATCGACGATGAATTTGCCGTACTCAACCGGACCGTGCTATATCGTGGCATTAGCGCCGACAAATGCATTATCTATGTAACGCAGCGATTCACGCGAAACTATAAGAACATTAAGGCCAATGCCAAATGTGGCGTTACCATCCTAATGCCGGAGGTAATACTGCCGTCACAAGGGACCATGCCCTCCATCTGGCAGGTTCGCCTCTTGGGCGCCACCGCTGTGGAGCTGCCTGAGTCCGAGCTGGATGCATGGTGGAACAGAGAGCTGCTATCGGCGAAAATACGTGACATCATCTTTCCCTGTGGCCAGCCGGTGGACTACGACGAGCTCAAGGCCAAGCACGATCAGTTCCTCAAGGAATATCGAGAGAGCGGAAAGCCGCTGCAGCGTCCCCCAACATTGTATGTTCCTGAAAGTATCTTGCATGTATTTCACATTAACAATCTGTTATCTCCAACCAGCACCGCCTTCAAGTTTGAGGCTCAGCGCTATGACTTTCTCAAAGTGGGCGTGAACCAGATCGCGGATCGGGTGCAATATCGCCGACAGGCGAACGGCAAATGGGAGGCAATGCATGTCTCGACCTGAACTGAGTTCTCAGAATTGATGAGCGCGATAGATCCAACTGTATTTTACACACTTCCATTTTTAATTTAATTTTATTTTTATTCAACTATCATTTGCAATAGCAAAACAATTGTTCTCAACAAATACAAACAAAAATTATAATTACAACAACTAAATGTAGTACTAACTAAATGTCCTTTGTTTTCTTCTCTTCTTTTAATGTTTTGTTTAGCATACAGTTAAAATAGTTAATAAATATTACACAAAACAGTTAAAAAAAAGGTTGGTTATAATAATACATAATATTAGATTAAAACATGCAATTAAGTTATGATTAAGGTTGCTTCTTCTTGCTTTTTACATAATACACGTTAGTTTATCCATTCTTTTTTACAATAATTATGATATGATGCCGCCTGGTGCGCCTACGCCGCATTCACTGTCTCCCGTATCCAATCCGCATTGGAGGCAATCTTGTCATACATGCGCGGCCGCTCCACACCCGTCGGTCCGCAAGCGATGCGCCAGGAGGAGACGCCAATGAGTGCCCATTGATTGGTGCCCGGTATGAGGCATTGGACGGGCGCGCCGGAATATTCCTCTTGCTGCAAGTGTATCAAAATTATTTCATAAATAATTAAATTACATCATTTAGCCATATGTAGATACATATGTATGTATGTATGTATGTATTTACATAAATAAACTTAGCACGCAACACCCTGTTTCCGACTATTGTGACGTCACATGACAATCGCGACATGCAGCGACGCGTTCAGCAACAAGCACAAAAGCAAAACAAAACAAAATATAAAATGTGAGTAATGCCATATCAACAATACAATAACAAGGCGAAATATGCTCTATCTCTTTCCCGCATGCAAGTCAAATGCAGAATAGCACGAGCGCGCGCGCACACACACACAAATAGCAAATGCTAGAAACATCCCTGGACAATGCGTGCTCTCTTACCTACTCAATAGGATAGGAGAAAAAGCAGAAGACAAAAACAATTTGCACCCAGGCCGCAGCTGCAGTGCTAGATCGAACAGGCTCTCTCCCTTTCTCCATCTCGCTCTTGCCTGCTGATGTGCATATAAAAGACGATAGCGCGCGCCAAAGCCCCGTTTATTCGAGCGTCGGCAGTGCAAGTGAACGGAACGAAGACTCATTCAGTATTAGTAGCAAAAGGAGAAGAGGAAGAAGGAATTAACAGTTAAACGCGCAGCGCAGGCGTCATTAACGAATTTCACCATGTTGGATATAAAAAACTGCCTGAAGATCAGCTATCGAGGCGAAGTGAGCTTCATCATCTGCGACGCGGGCAGCAGCTACGAGGAAATCATTAGCCAAGGTAAATTAGTTTCCTTTTTCCTCTTTCCCATCCAAGTTAAATGAATTTCCTCGATTCCCACAGTCTGTGCTCGCTTCCACATACCCGAGACGCAGCGGGCAGGCCTGATGCTGACCAATGGCCAGGGCTATGAGTTCGAGAAACACCTGTTGGAGTACTTTCTGGTTTTGTTCCCCTGCCCGGAGCTGCTGTTCCAGCTGCGCATCAACTGGCAAAGGCTGCGCCGTGCCCTCCTCGAGCCCGTCAAGCGACGGCGCTCCACGGGTGACTTAGTCGATGCCCATCCTCGATCTGAAGCTGGAGCTGATCCTACGGCGGATTATGAGGCGGTACCAGTGCATCGTCAGAATTGCTTTATCGGCGCTCTGCCCGGCAGCGCTCTGGCTGCTGCAGTGCGTCAACAGAGTCGCTATCTCCAGCAACGGCAACCACAAGCAACGTCCGGGACACTACGTCGACTCCGGCCGGAACAGCCGGAGCCACAAGCGGAACCCAAGCGAATGCGTCTTCAGCTGGCCAACAGTTCGCGACGATCGGCTCCCAGCGCTGGCCCCACTACATCCCTCCTAGCAACGGCAAAGCGCTCCATACGCATCTAAGCCAAAGAAGCAACTAGTCTGTCCCCTCAACCAGGACGAAATTGTATATAGAAAATCTTGAATTTTTTTTTTTTTTTACATTTAACATTAAGGTTACGGTTCCAAGCATATACATACATACATATGTATGTACATATGTATACTCGTACATACATATACATATACATAATGGAATGCAACATTGAAAAATATGAAATTAAATAATAAATATGGATAATAAAGCATAAAATAAATTAATAAATATAAACCCATAAAGATAGATATGTATGTATATAATCCCTATTAGTCAGTCAATTAAGTTAAAGTTCTTTACAGACAAAATATAAGACTTGAATCGGGCCCTTATACCTATAGCCAGAAGCAATCGGAACTCCAGCTGTATTACGGCCAAAGGGGCGGATTATATAATTAATAGATCGAGCAGAGTGTAGAGTAGATCAACTGTAAATCAACTACCACTATTGATCTCGGTTATAAATTTTAGTAAATTCTTGATTGGCTTTTCACAATTTCCCAAGGAGAAGAGCAAAAATAGAACACATCTCACATATGTTTCTAGCTCTTCAACTATAACGACAAGCTGAAGTCTCTCAACAGGTGGACAGAAGGACCCAATCGATGCCTATTTGAAGCTGGTGGAGCTATACGACGAAACAGAAAACTCTAAAAGGCACTCGACACTCCATAGTGCAGAAGTCTGGACTAGTCTGGTTAGAAGTAGTTGCTCTTCGAGGGAGCAATATCTGGTAATATCTCTAACATTAGGTGGAATGCCGAGCTGTGCGAACTGTACGACAAGGGATGGTTAGGTGAAGTCAAGGTTGAGCGTCAACTCCAGCTGTAGCTATGTTTTATACGGATACAACGAAGTAGAGGAAAGCCATGAGCGCGCTGGAAGATCCAAGAGAATGACTATATATCCAGATTCGGTATTAGCAGCCGACAAAGTCACACCTAGGAAAGGCTTGGTGGCTACGTTAGGGACGTTATTGTTAATTATCCATATATATGTATACATATATTGATAGTCATCCAAATCTCATTATGAGTTATTTTCCCCTGATTTGCATCTTCCCCAATAGACGTAGCGAACAGATCTCAACATGACATGAGACGATATATTCGAAATTGTATAATGCATGCAACTACTACGAACGACCGAATGGACTGCAAAACCCTCAATATACTCTCTTTGCACTTCGTGGGCGGGCATTAAAATAAATGGATGCATGGCCAAGGGACCGTCGTTATAACCGGAAGACGCTGTAACCATATAAGTTAGCCCAAACAAGTTTGTCTAGGGATCAGAACATACGGGCAGTATAGGCGGAGTCGTTATAGTCGAATGCTACTGTATAACTATTTCTGTATGAGGTTTCTCTGTAGCACTTACCGTGCAGTCGTATTTCTGGTAGGTGGCCTCCATGCACATGGAGTTGACCGTCGTTATGGAGATGTTTTCGCAGGGCGCCATGTCCCCGATCTTGAGCTGGACCCGCTGCAGATGATCGCGCTGGCGGGACCAGCCGAGGGTGTTGCAGTTCGTCCAGATTTCCTCCGGTGCACTGGGTGGCTTTGTAACTTTGGACGCCTGCGAGGCGGAGGATTGGCCGTAGTAGTTGACCTGTGGGGCGCTGTCTGGCAGCGGATAGGCGGCCAGCTGTGCCCGATGATCCGCTCCATCCGGCAACTGTTGCAGTGCCTCGGCACGTGGCATTTGGGAGGCGGCGGCCTCGGCCATTAGATAGTCATAGCCAATGTCTTCTTCATGCTCCTCGGTGCTGGCATCCGAACTCTCTGGCTGCTCCTGCTGCGAGGGTATCAGGAAGAACTGTTGCGTCTCCTGGGCCAGACGGCGCTGCGAGTGTGATGCAACTGGCGCTTCCAAGCGCTCGGCCACTGGGACATAGGCGCGCCGTTGCATCGGCGTTTGCTGCTGCTGCCGCTGCAGTGCGTCGGGCAGGCAAATGGGCCGCACGTGATCTGAGAAGCTGACCGGCGTCTCCAGGCGCACCAACGCTGCCGTGGAGCCCTCAACGGGGCTTTTGATCATGCCAATGATGCGACGTCGCTGTGTCCACGGCGCTTTCGCCGACAGACGCACTGCGCCCACGATGGCCATCCAGGTGGCCCTCGGCTGACCCTGGAAGCAACTCTCCGTGGTCAGTACCCAGTCCGGCGAGATGAGCGTGCCGTCGCAGACGTGAATATCCTCGCGGAACAGCGCCACCAGCCACGGCCAGTCGCCTGGCGCTGCCATCTTGGGCAGCGAAAGATGCTGCTTCGCATTGGGCAGTGCCGACTGCACGCCGCAGCGCAGATCGCCACAGCCCACATAGAGCACTTGTCTCTTGGGACAGTGGGTGCGTATGAAGCTAATCTCCGGCGCATGCGGGTCTAAGACGCGCACGTAGTCCGACAACTGTTCGGTGTCATTTTGCACATCAAAAATTTCCACAGATCTGCCAAAAAAAAAGATTAGTTGAAGAAATTAATAAGAAGCTTAAATTCCAATTTTCAAATTGATATTTTCATTTAAGGATTTGCCACCTAATCGTTAAATTTAAATGTGGCTTTGCCAGCTAGCCAGTCAGACAATGGCTTTGCAGTCCTGGATCTTGACCTTGCCACCTGATGGTTAAATTTAAATATTTAAATTAAAATAAGCCTTGCCAGCTCGCCAATCAGGCTATGGCTTCGCAGTTAAAGTTCATGGTGCTGCCACCTGGCCGTTAAATTTAAATATTTAAATGAAAATATAGCCGTGCCAGCTCGTCAGGGTGTTAATGATGTTGCCAGACAAGCGCATACAATTGTATTGCAGGAATTAAACATTCAAATGGTTGCACTCACTCATAGCCCAGCGATTTACATAGGGATTCCGAGACGGTCTGACGTACCACCAGCTTGGCATCACCTTCTAGACCCTCAGCGCACAGCTTGCCAACAATGCCCTTCTCGGAGAAGACAGCATAGCCAGCGGCATGGAAGCGCGGCAGATAGGGTACATAAGGCTCCGGCTGCAAGAGATCCGCGGCCAATGGAGCTATCGAAACTGCAAGGAACCAGACACAAGCTTAGCTAGATTATCAACAATTTGCCGCAGCAGCAACTTACGGCAATCCTTTTCATCAGCGCCGTCCGGGCAGTCGGCCTTGCCATCGCATCGCGCCTTGCGCGGCACACAGGCACGCCCACGTCCACAGTAGAGGGCATTGGGAGCGCAAAAGGCGCAGCTGCGCTCATCGGACAGATCTGGGCAGTCGGCATAGCCGTCGCAGAGGCGCGGACTCTGCACATTGCTCTGCATGTCGCCCAC